TGTATTCATAAACGAAATAGGCAAAACTACACGTTTTCTTCTGTACACATCCATTTAGGTTGCCATCCAATCTAGTACGGGTGGGAGTTTTTCGGCGAACTCGCAGCGATGACGCTACGTGTGCACTGTCACGGGTTTCCTCGCTGCGAGTTCGCTGCGAGCTCGCGCGACATTTTCTCGCTCGTGTGCATCGAGCCTTAGTAGTTGTGATGTAGTTAGCTAGTGGCGCGATCTTTGAATCACGCAATTTCTTCTGTTGTAAATTGTTTCCAAATATAGTAGGAATATGATAAATACATCATTATCACAAAGAATAAAACTGTAAGTATCCATATGTGCCTGTAATAATTTCATTGCCTTCAATATAAGTATATTTATGGAAATTGTAATTTATTCTATTGCACAGCCATCATCAGCAGAAGCTTGGTGGTGGATGTATTCCTGTTATTGTGGTTGAATACCAAGAAGATATTCTGAAATATCTTGATACAAGTGGCAGTTTAATAAAGTTACAAGAAGCAACAAATAAATACAAGAAGTACAAGGAAGGGCTACAGAAAGATGGGGAACATAGACTACCATTTCTGTTTCTGCTGGAAATAGATATTGTTCTGTTATCTGAAGTCTCAGGTAAATAAATATCAAAGTGCATGCAACCATGTGTGTTCTGTTTTGAATAGAATCCTTTGATAGCCAGAAGTAATGCGCTTATTTCAAGTATACAAAATTGTTATTATATATAGTAGAGCATAATAGGTTATGTTATGCAAAATATCTTTGTATCAGTGAAGAAAAATATATAATAGCAGTATTTCCGGACGCTACACACACTTTTTCTTTTTTTTGTTTAGCCTGACTTAGTTACATAAACTGTTACTTTTGTTACAAAGTTATAAATTTTTTAAATTCTGATATTTCAAATGCTGTAGACACCCTTATTGTTATGACACAGTGTACATAATTTATTGTAGAGCAACTGGATGAATAAATTAAATTAATAGAAAATAAATGGACATACCTGTGACAAAAACAGTAAATATTGGTGCAACAAGCAATAGATTATTGGAAAATCTCCCTGTTAATCACAAATGTAAGTTGTTTTGGCTGTGATAAGTTTTCCAAATTGTGCCTTGTTCATTATGAGTGTGCATTATAACTTCATGTTGTGTGGAGGAAGGACATGTTGAGTTTGCCATCATTTTATGTAGTATGATGGTGGAATCAGCTACTTTGTGTTGTAGACATAGAATGTTATAAATCTTTAAATGTAAAGATTGCTTTAGGAATTTAACATTCATACCGTCAATATTTTGGAAAGAAACTTGAATAGTTCATATTGGATTTTTAGCACCATTACCATGCTTGTTTGTCAGTCAGCCACGTGAAGCAGCAGTTACCATAAGACGTTAGAACATTTTAGTATAATAGATATATAATAATTTCATTATATTTAAATCTTTTATTTTATTAAATTGATCACAAAGGCAGATAGAACCATATTTATTCTTATTCAGTTTAAGTGCATGCAAAAAACATTTATAGTCATGAAATTGTCATACGATTAAATACAGTTTTTGACATGAGACAAAGCATCTTGTAAAATTGGTTTGTTACATTTAATTATATTTACAATGTGATGAATGTTGTATCCTAATTGCATAATTCTTATTTCCATTCATTGCAGGGCTTTTTTCAAACTTGCTGCTTAATGAACCAAATGTAGCAAAAGGCATTATACATCATGTTTTGCATACTGTAGCTGACATTCCAGATTTGCAACCAGAAGACTTACAAGTGCTCCTCAGGCTGAGATCACTCCCCGCTCTCCCAGGACTTGTAAAGACAGGTCCTGAGAAGGATTCGTCTGGACTTGTTCTTCTGCAAGGAATTCTTATTGCGAAAACACTTCCTACAAAATATACGTGAGTTCCTAATTCACATAAACTTAAAATATTTATTTCTAGTTAATCAATCTCAAAATCACTTGTCCTTTTTAAATCTGGAGATTTAAAAGTATCACAAATGCTTATTGCTGTAATAATAAATAGACTTCATGAAGTTTCATGTGGATTCTGAACCATTTTATGAAACTGATATTACCACATTAAAAGATGGTGGATATAGAATGCAATTTTTTAAAACTCTATAGATCCTTCATAGAACCAGGATGTAGAACATGCAGAAATATCCACCCTGGATGTAACCAATTTCAAATCTAAGATCCTTAGCAGACTATTTTATCTTAGTCCTGGAGAAACAGAAAATAAATACAACACATCTTATAGTTTATGCACGAATGCATACCTACAGTGTAGTCAGCTGCCACCTCCACCCACACAACATCCTAACCATCATTTTACAGTTTACGCTGTTGCCAACCTCCACCCACACAACATCCTAACCATAATTTTGCAGTTTACGCTGTTGCCGAACTAAGTGTGATTGAGTGACTGATTTGAAATACTATGTGAAAACATGTGAGCATGATCTGGTGACTCAGATCACTGTATACGTACAGGCATTTCCTTGCTGGAGGTGGGTGGAGAGATATTCCACAAGCTATGGAAATGAAAGCAGGTTTTAGATCGTTTGGTCTTGTAGAATGCACACTGACACTCACAGCCACACAGTTGTACAGTACACATTGTGGTGTGCTGTGAGATATTGAACTATAATTTATTGTGCTGTCTCATGGGAGAGGTTGAGGAATGTTGCCTTACGTACTGCATTAAGGATTTTGTCCCTCACTCCGTGCAGACGGACCGCTGTCTTCCAGTGTC